GTCTTACATGCACATGTGACAAAATTCAAATAATATAAGAAGGTATACAATGAAAACCTTCCTATCTCTCTCCTAGCCACCCAACTCCCCTTTCAGAAGGCAACTTTATTACCAGTTTCTTGTGGATCCTTCTAAAAGCGTACTATACATTTACAAGCAAATACATATACACATACATATAAACACAAAGGGTTGCATACTATACATACTGTTCTTTGATTTTTTTTCTTAACAATGAGTCAGAGAGATTCTTTTATATCAGCACATACAGATCTATCTCATTCTTTTAAACAACTTTTTAACAACTGTGTAATTTGTTGTAGGGATATGCCAGTGATGGCGAACCTTTTGAGCTTGGCGTGTCAGCATTTTGAAAAATCCTAACTTAACTCCGGTGCCGTGTCACATATAGAAATTTTTTAATATTTGCAACCATAGTAAAACAAAGATTTATATTTTTGATATTTATTTTATATATTTAAATGCCATTTAACAAAGAAAAATCAACCAAAAAAATGAGTTCGCGTGTCACCTCTGACACGCGTGTCATAGGTTCGCCATCACTGGGATGTGCCATAATTTATTTAACCAGGTCCATCAATAGGAACCTGGTTAAATAAATTATGGGTTGTCCTAGTATTTGCTATTACAAACAGTTAGATGACCTTGTATCTATGACTTGCATATGTACAGTATTTTTGTAGAATAAATTTTTAGAAGTGGAGGTCATAGGTGTATGCATTTAAAAATTTAAGAGCTAGTTCAAAAAAAAAAAAAAGGCTAGTGCCTTTCATAGAGCTGGCCCCAATTTATATATGCCCTCACCAACGCAGTGTATCATCAAACTATTTTGTTTTGGCCACTTTGATAGGTTAAAATGGTATTTCATAATCTTAATATGCATTTCTCTTACTAACAATTAGGTTATGCATCAATTCATATTTTAAGAGCTGTTATAACATTATTTTATGATGTTATATTTCATGATAGCACTTACTGAGGTATAAGTTCTATACACTGAGTACACATGTCTTATGCAAACAGCTGGATGAATTTTATAACATATTTTGACACTCATGTAACCATTACCCAGATTGAGATCTAGAGCATTTCTGTCACACCTGAAAAGTTCCCTCGTGCCCCCGTCCTGTCACTATCATCCCAGGCAACTGCTATGTTGACTTCTATCACTATTGATAAGTTTTGTCCATTCTTGAATTTCATACAAAGGGAATAATATAGTATGTGCTCTTTGTGTTTGAGTTCTTTCACTCAACACATTTTTGAGATTTATTGATCTATTATGACATCGTTTTACATAGCAACAAGGAATAAAATATATGTACATGCCATAATTCAATCAATTTCTTATGTAAACCAGTCCCCTAAATGTTACTATTTGAGTTGTTTTCAATTTCTGGTTATTATAAGCAGTGTGACAATAAACACTCTTGTAAGTAAATATTTGCTACAAATATATCTGGGTCAATGGCTACATACAATTCAAGGTTTTGATTATGTATTTCTGATTTGCACCCATAAAAGTTGTACCAGAAAATAATGAGGTGCTCATTTCAAGGAAATTATACTTCCTTGAACCTTCATCTATACTGGGTATTACAATCAAGTTTTTGTTTTCCAGTTTGATAGGTGAAAAGTGATGTTCCTGTTATAGTTTCCTTTTTTTGAAAATGTTGAACATCTGTATTGTTGAACACTTGTATTTTTTCTTCTGTTGTTAATAGCTAGCTCTTGCTCATTTTTTTTATGTTTAGTTTTGTGTTTTTGTTTCTAATTTATGAGAGTTCTTTAGTAAGAATAGTAATGTCTTTGTTTTAAAAACTTAAATTTTTCCTATTTAAAATTATGGGTTTTTTATTCTAGAAAAAATTAAAATCTAAATCCAAAATAACAAAAAATTCCTAAAATCTCACTCTGCAAGGATAATCACTATTAACATGTTTTTTTCTACGCAAGGTATAAAAAATATACTTTTTAAAAACAAATAGAATCATCCTTTACATACTTTTTTTTACACTAATACTATTTTAAAAACCACATTTTTTTTGCTTATCATACCTTGCCATATCATTACATATTTTATAACATCATCTATATTTTATTTTTTAAATTTAAAAGCAATATGTTGACTCTGGCCAGTGTGACAGTTGGAGAATTGTCCCATACACCAAAAGGTGGCCGGTTTGATTCCCCGTCGGCACATAGCCAGGTTGCAGGTTCAATCCCCAGTCAGGGCGTGTGTAGGAGGCAACCCATCAATGTTTCTCTCTCTCTTCCTCTCTCTAAAATCAATAATAAAAAAAGAATAAAGTAAAATAAAAGCGATATGTTGTCATTGTAAAACATTTAGATACCACAGAAAAAATGTAGTTAAGCATATGCTCCTGTCATTCTGTTCTCCAGTATAACCACCACTAACAGTTCTGTATATAGTCTTCCATATCTTTTTCCTGAGGTCATTCTATCCATACTCCTTCTGAAAAATGTAATCACATTATATACATTGTTTTTATTTTTTCACTTAACCGATCTTTGATATATAATATATGTGAACCAACCTGGCTTACTATTATTTTTTCCAATCTGGCTTATTTTAATGGGGGTAGAATATAGAGGTCTCATAACCAACATTTTGATGGATGTTTAAATTGTTTCTAGTTTTTCTTTAATACACATCTCTTCAATGAAGATCTTTCAGTGCTTAAGCAAGTGTTGTAAAATGAATTCCTAGCAGTGCAATTGTTGATACAGAGTACACACAGGATGGACATTTAAATATTTAATAGACTTGTCCTCCAGAAAGGCTCTATTGGCTTACAGTTTTCCCTTATTGTAGAGAGCGCCGTCCCAACTCCTTCCTCTTGGTGGATTCTGTTTTGGGGCTTCATAGGCTTTCACCACAGAGAGACCAGATAAATATTTCAGGTAGATTTTTATTATAAGCCATATTTTTCAAATCTTTAAAATATTTTTTGTTTTTATTTTTTATTATGAAAAATAAATATTTTTAATATTAAAAATAATGTTTATTAGTTTTCTTTTGTGTACAGAAGAAATAAGAAGGAAACCAAATAATGCACTATTGTTTCACCCTCTTTGACATTCATAAAAAATATATAATATTAAACATGGTTTAAAGATGTCAGCAATCCAGGATAAAAAATGAAAAATGAAAGCCTTCTCTCTTTCATTTTTCTCTCCCCAAAGAACACTGGTCATACTTTTGTGTAATTCCTTCTAGAAAAAAAATTCTATGTATATTGATGCACATTCCAGCTCTAGCAAAGTTTTATTAAAACATGTCCCCCAAACTCTGGTGTCCATAGACCTAGAGGTTTATAATTCAGTTAAGTGAAGATGGGCTCTATAGTAAAACAATTTGACAATTAGGTCATAGTCGCTTTATACTGCATGGCAGGAAAACAAGACTGAGAAAAAAAATTAAATATATTTTTATTGATTTCAGAGAGGAAGAGAGAGGAAGAGAGAGATAGAAAATCAATGATGAGAAAGAATCCTTGATTGGCTGCCTTCTGCATGTCCCATAATCCAGGCATGTGCCCTGACTAGGAATCGAACCGTGACCTCCTGACATCAACCACTGAGTTACACCAGCTGGGCATGACTGAGAAAATTGTCACATGATGGAGAACAAACATAGTCTCATTCTCATTAATGTTACCAGAAATTTTCCCTTTAAAATTATTAGCTATCAAATATATTATTTGTTTGTCTCCTTATATTTTGTATCTTTTTTTTTTTTTTTTTTGGTTAATCCCAACCCAAGGATATTTTTCCATTGATGTTTAGAGAGTGGAAGGGAGAGGGAGAGACAGAGAGAAACATCAATGTGAGAGAGATACATCGATTGGTTGCCTCCTGCATGCACCCCGACTGGGGCCAGGGAACCTGCAACCAAGGTATGTGTCTTGATCAGAATTGAACCCGGGACCCTTCAGTCTGCGGGCCAACACTCTATCCACTGTAAGCCAAACTGGCTAGGGCAGGGGTGGGCAAACTTTTTGACTCGAGGGCCACAATGGGTTCTTAAACTGGACCGGAGGGCCGGAACAAAAGCATGGATGGAGTGTTTGTGTGAACTAATATAAATTCAAAGTAAACATCATTACATAAAAGGGTACGGTCTTTTTTTTTTTTAGTTTTATTCATTTCAAACGGGCCGGATTTGGCCCGCGGGCCGTAGTTTGCCCACGGCTGGGCTAGGGCGATATTTTGTACCTTTAGCATTCTTATCAGCACCATGATTTATAACATGTTACCTGAATTAAGCAAAGTACCTGTAGGTCTGAGTGACTTGCTTCATAATTTCTCCTTACTTAAAGCTAATTCCTTAAAGGTAGACCCATATTTATGATTTCATATAATCCTAAGGGAGCTGGGTTAAAGTTTCCATAACATGTTAGCAGCTCAATATATGTATATTTCAATAGGGAACTCTCTCTCTCTTTCTCTCTCTCTCTCTCTCTCTCTCTCTCTCTCTCCCTCTCTTTCTCTCTCTCCATATATACTTTGTATCTTTCACTTAACACTTTTTTAAAGTCTTTGCATATCAGGACATATGGATCTATTGAGGAAGATATTTTTTAATTTGGGTAGATTTTTAATGTTAATGAATTGTCGGCACTCTTCATAGCCTATGCCCTGTTGTCTTTTCCCATTTGGTTTCCCAGGGCAGGGGGTCCAAAGTAGTGGGGCGCTACATCATGACACCCAGACTGAGGGCCCCTCACACAATCTCACAGAGTGACATTCCCCATGGCACCCTCTACCACATGGGCACAACTCTTGGCGTCGATACTAAATTTTGTTTTCCTCTCGTTTCCCTCATCGCCATGGTGGTCCATGCATATGGATGGTTGAAGAACGAGTGCCTCCTCGGGCTGGTGGGTGAGGTCTCAGCATTTCCTCTCCCTCGCACACTGCCTGCTCAAGTCTGCCATCTTTTATTTCCGCTCCAGGGGAAGCCCTATGTCTTCGACCGCGTGTTCCCCCCAAACACGACTCAGGAGCAAGTTTATCATGCATGTGCCATGCAGATTGTCAAAGGTAATGGATGTATTTCTGAATGTATTTGTTTAGGCTCCCCATTCCCTATCCCACTTCTCTCCACCAGTCGGTCCTCTTTCTCTGCCGTCTTTTCCAGATGTCCTTGCTGGCTACAATGGCACCATATTTGCTTATGGACAGACATCCTCAGGGAAAACACATACTATGGAGGTGAGGGTCTGATTCCCATGGAGGGTGAGAAACTGGGGGTGCTAATAGGAGACAAAGAAATCTCAGTGCGGGAAGGGCTAGCACTCAAGGGTTGCCTGGTCCAGGGTAGCTAAGTCCAGAGGATGAACTGGGGAGCAGTGATCTAGTGCATGTTTAACGCAATCCCTTCAGCCTGCTGCAGCTTACCCTCCTTCCCACTACTCCAGTTTTCTTTTTTTGATCTAGAAAAGCAGCAACAATGAAAGTTCAAAGGGCTGTTCAGTTCTGTCCCTTCCACAAAAAGGTAGACAGGCAGTGACCATCTCCTCACTTAGGATAGTTCCTATCGACTATTACCTTCGTGTTCACCTGCATACCTCTGAGTCGTCTCATTCTTCCTGAGCTCCAGCCTTATTCTAGCGTACCCTTACTCCCCAGGGAAAGCTGCACGACCCCCAGCTGATGGGAATCATTCCTCGAATTGCCCGCGATATCTTCAACCACATCTACTCCATGGACGAGAACCTTGAGTTCCACATCAAGGTGATCAGGGCATGACCTCTGGGCATCTTCAGATGGGGACCGGCAGGGGAAGATCTAGTATGAGCTCACTGAGATCCTGGGCACCCCAACTTACTCTCTCTTCTGGTTCCCTCAGTTCCTCTCCCCTAAGATACTTTCTTCTGCTCTTTTCTTCCCACTACTATTGTTGCAGCTGGTCACATTTAAATGACCTGCAAATTAAAACTACCTGCGCTCTGACACTTCATACTTAAGAGAGGCCCTCTTCACTTCATACTCCTCCTTTCTCCCTAACCAGGTTTCTTACTTTGAGATTTACCTGGACAAAATTCGTGACCTTCTGGATGGTGAGTGGTGTTTAACCCCAGTAGAAGGCCGGGGGTGTGAGAAGGGCAAGGGAAGGAAAGATCACACTGCTCTTGGGGTTAGGCACTGTTTGCCAAGATGCAGAGGGCACACAAGGCACGCACATCCATACCTGTGTCCCTTGACTCCCCTCACCAAGATTTCCAAAAACGAAAAGGGTCCAAGGATGAGCTCGGATGCCCAGGCCTGCATAATAGTCTGAGACGAGCTGGACCCCTGGGGCTGGAATCCTGGAGGAGGAGAAGCCGAGTCTTCAGTTTGTGCAGGGAGTTTAGGTTTCACGGGGAGTCTTCTTCCCTTTTGCACATAGAAGAAACCACCATCTGAGTGGACTCCCGCCTCGGGGGGGGGGGGGGGGGGGTGGAAGTGCTGGCCTTGCTCACCTGTATTGTCTTGATTCAGTGACTAAGACAAATCTGTCTGTGCATGAGGACAAGAACCGGGTGCCGTTTGTCAAGGTGAGAGGGGGATGGGGTACCAGTGGGGCCAGAGTATCCCAAGTGGGGGTGGATATGGAAGGAGGATAGACCAGTGACCCAGAAGTTGGAGGGTGGGTCTCCTGGAGGGCTGAAATGTGCCAAGGACCCAGGGAGGGTCTGGGGCTCGGAAAGGACATTATCTAGAAAGGTCCTTTTGTCAAAGTGCAGGTAATTTAACCTGCAGATCAAAGTTTATGGGTTATTATCCATTTGCCCCCTGCAGGGTTGTACTGAACGCTTTGTGTCCAGCCCAGAGGAGATCTTAGATGTGATTGATGAGGGGAAATCGAATCGTCATGTGGCTGTCACCAGTGAGTCGGGATATAAGGGGCTTTTGACTCTGGGGTCTGCCTCCCCTCTGTGCCTGTGGGGATTGAGGGACTTGTGAGAGAGCAAGGGAAAAGTGTCCTCCAGAGAAAAAGGGACCCTTTATAAAATATATATATATATTTAATTGACTTCAGAGAAGGGGGAGGGAGAGAGAGATAGAAACATCAGTGATGGGAGAGAATCATCAATTGGCTGCCTTCTGCACACCCCACACTGGGGATCGAGCATGTCCCCTGACCAGGAATCGAACCATGACCTCCTGGTTCATAGGTCGACGCTCAACCACTGAGCCACACCGGCCGGGCAAAGAGGGACCTTTTTGTGCGACCCTGCTGCCTGGGAAATGTGGTGGTGGGACCCTCTCTCTTGGTTGGTACGGGTAGTGGTCAGGCGAAGCCTGGCCGAGGGCTTCAGTCCACAGGGGTTGGTACCAGGACTGTTTCTCCCTTCCTCCTGCAGACATGAATGAGCACAGCTCTCGCAGCCACAGCATCTTCCTTATCAACATCAAGCAGGAGAACATGGAGACGGAGCAGAAGCTCAGTGGGAAGCTGTACCTGGTGGACCTGGCTGGCAGTGAGAAGGTTAGGGTCTTGTGGGGGTCAGGTGGGGAGGGAAGGAAGCCTTGCGGGGAGGTGTCCTTTTCTTAAAATCAAACTAACTTTAAAAAATTAAGACATAATTCATAGTCCATAAAGTTCACCATTTAAAAGTGTGTAATTGAGTGGTTTTTAGGATGTTTGCAAGATTGTGCAACCATCACCCCTCATTCCAGAACATTTTCTCTTTTTAAAAAAAAAAATACATTTTTTATTGATTTTAGAGAAGAAGGGAGAGGGAGAGAGAGACAGAAACATCAATGATGAGGGAGAATCATTGATTGGCTGCCTCCTGCATGCCCCCTACTGGGGATCGAGCCTGCAACCCAGGCATGTGCCCTTGACCGGAATCAAACCTGGGACCCTTCAGTCTGCAGGCCAACGCTCTATCCACTGAGCCAAACCAGCTAGGGCCAGAACATTTTCATCACCCATTAACAATCCCCTCCCCGATCCCCTGGCAACTACTAATCTACTTTCTTCTCCTCTTTTCTTTTTCCACTTTAAATTACAATGGTATTTTATTTTTTTAAATGGTCACAAGATTTGACACTTCACACACACACACACACACACACAAATATACCACTAATAAATAACAGAAGTGGAAATACTTATCAAAGTTACAACAGACTTAATGAGACTTAATGTTTAACTGAGAATCTCAACTGAGTAAGGCTCTAAAGATACCAGACAAACCAATATTTGTTTGGAATAAAGTGTGTAACTTTCTTAATGGGCTTAGAGCTGAGTTCCATGTGGTCAGGGACATGGTCCTAAAACCAACGTTAGCCCAGTCGTGCTTCAGACTAAGTTTCAGTAGTCTGCACGAGATGTTAAGGAATGCCCCCTACAAAAAACTAGAACTTGAAGACTTTTTTCAAGAGTTACCAATATCCAGCAAATGTACATTCTTACCTGAAAATGCCAAAATTAATAGGTGCTGGTATTCAGATCTGATGTCTCAGGTTTTATGACTGACACATCCTAATGCTCCTAGACTTTGGGGTGTACAGAGCGGCAGACAATCTAAAATCTGTTTAGCATATAGGGAAAATTAAGATGAGGTGGGCATACATTTCTTGACTATGCCAATCACCCTCAATTCTTCATAGGGATAACCTACTTTCTTCTTGATGGGTTTGCCTTTTCGGGACATTTCACATAGTGGGATCATATAATATGTATAATATGTAGGTGGGAGGGGGTGGTCTTTGGCAAAAGAATTTAGAGGAATAGAAGAAGGGCCTTCTCTGTTCTCTGTCCTTTTTCCATGTCCTCTCCCCTCTTTGGGCTGAGCCCCCCTATATGGAAAGGAGGTGGCGAGAGCCCTCTCCCTTTGCAGTGGCTCATGACCCACCTGTCCCTTAATGCCCTGATAGGTCAGCAAGACTGGAGCAGAGGGAGCCGTGCTGGACGAGGCAAAGAATATCAACAAGTCCCTGTCAGCTCTGGGGAACGTGATCTCTGCTCTGGCCGAGGGCACTGTGAGTGTCCTCAGGTCTCCTCACCCTCACGCTCCCCCTCATCTCCCACCTTCCCCTAATGCTGCCCTTAACCATGCCCCTATTCATGGATAGCCCGATCCCTGGCCCACCACTCTGCTTTCTGATTCCCCTGTTAAATTTATTTTTCTCATTCACGTCTCCCTCCTCCCCCAGAAAAGCTACGTTCCATACCGCGACAGCAAAATGACACGGATTCTCCAGGACTCTCTGGGAGGAAACTGCCGGACAACTATGTTCATCTGCTGCTCACCGTCCAGCTACAACGATGCGGAGACCAAGTCCACCCTGATGTTTGGGCAGCGGTCAGTGGCAGGGTCCCCAGCCCCCTGCCCAGCCCCTGCCGCTCTCGCTCTCCAGCATCAGGCAAGCCGTAAGGGAGCTCTCCTTACCTTGACCCCCTCTCCTCACCCAGGGCAAAGACCATTAAGAACACAGCCTCAGTGAATCTGGAGTTGACTGCTGAGCAGTGGAAGAAGAAATATGAGAAGGAGAAGGAGAAGACAAAGGCTCAGAAGGAGACGATTGCAAAACTGGAGGCTGAGCTGAGCCGTTGGCGCAATGGTTAGAGTTCTGTGGGCAGGAGAGGTGGTGGGAGGAGGAGGGGCTTAGGGAGCCAGAGAGCCCTGTCTGGGGTGGTGCTTCAGGGCAGGCCAGTCTCCAAGGAGGGCTGTGTTCATGGAGAGGTGCAGTGGGGCGGTCATCAGGGAAAGGGAGAGAGCCTGACTACCATGTCCCCCGACCCCCGAAAAGGTCCACTTAGCAGGAGCGGTGGAGGCCTGCAGGTCTTGGGGCTGAGCAGTGAGGGAGGAAGGACTGGTGGATGCAGCTTCCCCTTCTCCCACCCCTCACTTTGTTCTGCTCCTTTGCCAGGAGAGAATGTGCCTGAGACAGAGCGTCTGGCTGGTGAGGATGCAGTCCTGGGAGCAGAGATCTGTGAGGAGACCCCTGTGAACGACAACTCCTCCATCGTGGTGCGCATCGCGCCTGAGGAGCGGCAGAAATACGAGGAGGAGATCCGCCGCCTCTACAAGCAGCTGGATGACAAGGTGAGGACAATCGGGCAGGGCACAGAGATGAACCCAGTGGAAGGAGAAGTGAGGGATTAACAAATTATGTCCTAGTGGTTTGGCTAGGTGGATAGAGCGTCGGCCCATGGACTGCAGGGTCCCGGGTGTGATTCCAGTCAAGGGCATGTACCTTGGTTGCTGGTTCCTCCAGCCCTGGTCAGGATGTGTGCAGAAGGCAACTAATTGATGTCTCTCTCTCACATTGATGTTTCTCTCTGTCTCTCCCTCTCCCTTCCACTCTCTCTAAAAAATCAATGGAAAAATATGCTTGGGTGAGGATTAACAAAAAAAAATTAGCTTATACTGCTCTATATGATTTTAAGAGGGGTAAATGCTCATTATTGAAAATGTGGGAGATAAACACAAATACATAGAAGGAAAGTAAAATCACCCACCATCCCACCATTCAGAAATAACGCTATTAATATTTTGCCTTTTTCTGTGCATATACCATGTAATTGAGATATGCTGTGTATGTAACTGCATTCGATTTTTTCATTCAGTATTCCATCATGAGCAATTTCCTACTTTGTTAACAGTTGTTCATAAAAGTATTTTAAAATGGCTGCCTAACGGTCTGTGTATTAGAATGTATTTAACCATTCACTTATTACAGGGCTTCTACTTTTCTTTGGTATTGTTTGTTTTTGCTATTATAATGATTAACTTTGCATTAGACTTCGCTTTTGAATGATTTGGATAGAATGTAGTGATAAAGGGGGATTTCTAGGTTAAAAGATAGGAATATTTTAAGGCTTTTGCTATGTACTGTCAAGATTATACCAACTCCCAGGAAGAAAGGAATTTAAAGTGAGGGCAGGAGTTGAGGAACGAAACTGAGGGAATTCAGACGTCTTTGTATGATATGGTGTTTTGTGTGTTTTTCAAACTCAAAACCTAAACAATCTGGATTGTATTCGGATCCTGTCTCTCCCTCAACCCCAGAGGTCCATCCCTTTACTCCATCTGTCCCCCTTGCTCCAACAGGACGATGAGATCAACCAGCAGAGCCAGCTGATCGAGAAGCTCAAGCAGCAGATGCTGGACCAGGAAGAGGTAATGGGGAGGAGGGAATACGTGAGAGGAGAGGGGGGTTGTGTTCATCCCTGGAAGGCATAGAAAGGACCTTCTTACAATATGATGGGAGAAGGGGCATTCTGCTAGGGTTTAGTCACCCCCAAAACTATGGAGGTCTGGGGACCTAATTGGGGCTTGGCTTAAAGCTCAAATTATGGCATCTCGGTGCTTCTTCATTCTGTTGCCCTATTCCTAAGAAGCCTAGAGCCCACTTCCTCTGGACTCTTACTTTGGCCCTTGCCTCTCCTAGAGCTGTGCCTGGGCGGGGGGCTCAGCTTCCCTAGAGCAGGGGTCACAGAAGCGGCCACTGGCAGCAGGCTCCCTCACATGCCTCCCTCTCCCTCGAAGCTGCTGGTGTCCACTCGAGGAGACAATGAGAAGGTGCAGCGGGAGCTGAGCCACCTGCAGTCAGAGAATGACGCTGCGAAGGATGAGGTGAAGGAAGTGCTGCAGGCCCTGGAGGAGCTGGCTGTCAACTACGACCAGAAGTCCCAGGAGGTGGAGGAAAAGAGCCAGCAGAACCAGCTTCTGGTGGATGAGCTGTCTCAGAAGGTGGTGAGTGGCCGACTGGGGCCCAGGAGCTCCCTGGCCTCAGGACATCCTCTGCCTCCAAAGGGACTATTGCTTCCCTCCGGGGCTGCACGGTGTTTGCACTTTGCACTGAGGTTCAGTGTGTGAGACCCTCCCACAGCCGCTCCCTGGGCTTTGTCCTCCCGACCCCTCTCTCCTCCAGGCCCTTCTGCAGGGTCCGTGTTCTCTACACAGAGGCCATCAGGGTCACGCATGAAGGGAGAGGCCTCTGCCCGGGCTGGGGAGGGAACAGGAAGATGGCGATGGGATGACGGAGGGGCTGTCCCCAGGCCACCATGCTGTCCCTGGAGTCCGAGTTGCAGCGGCTGCAGGAAGTCAGTGGACACCAGCGGAAACGAATTGCTGAGGTGCTGAATGGGCTGATGAAGGACCTGAGTGAGTTCAGTGTCATCGTGGGCAACGGGGAGATTAAGCTGGTGAGTGGAGAAAGAGGCGGCCGTTTTGTTCAGGTCTTTTCTGTTCTGGGCGTTGGTGGGAGATGCAAGACGGGAGAATCCGGGCTGTCAGGGACACTGAGAGAGGCGGGCCACAGAGCCAGGAAACACGCCCTCAAACTAGACCCAGGAAAACAAGTAGAGGCTTGCATAGACTCAGCTGAAAATATACCTTCTAAAGGGTGCTAAGTAAAGAAGCAATGGAACAGCATATGAGACCCGTTTCCTGGCATATGTGGTCAGTTTGGCTCAAATAAACTCTTATTAGAAGTCTCTCTCTAAAAAAAAAGAAAAGGAAGAAGAAGCAATGGCGATGTGGTTATAGCAGGAGTTAGAGATGGGGGCCCAGAGTGAGAAATGATACATGCAAATCTGTGGCAAGGACAATGACCCATGTGGGTGATCAAGCAGAACTGTTTGACTGAAAAAGAAAATCATGTTGCTTTATAAGATGGGAGCGGGTGACTGTTGGGATTGGATCTTTGAATGCAGGGAGAGGGGTTTAGTGTGACATGCCAGGTGATAGAGAGCTGCTAAAAGTTGTCCCACCCGAGTCCCTGTGCATGTGTGTGTGCGGGGAGAAGCAAAGTGGAAGGGAATGGATAAAAGGTTTCCCGCAGCAGAGCACCTCTTCCCTCCCTTGCCCCCTGCAGCCGGTGGAGATCAGTGGGGCCATTGAGGAGGAGTTCACCGTGGCCCGACTCTACATCAGCAAAATCAAATCGGAGGTCAAGTCTGTGGTCAAGCGGTGCCGGCAGCTGGAGAACCTCCAGGTCGAATGCCATCGCAAGATGGAGGTGACTGGGCGGGAGCTCTCATCCTGCCAGCTCCTCATCTCCCAGGTGAGTGGCAGAGGCTGAGAGCCTTTGGGTGCCGTGGGAGAAAGAGCGTGACTCTGTGGTTATGAGATAAAACTCCTAGCACCTACCTTTATGTCAGGTGCTTAGGGCCAACTGAAGTCAGGACAGAAGAGCTGGGGTAGCAGGGGAGGGTCTGGGCCCGAGAAGTGACGGTGCAGCAGGGATACTGGCCTCTAAGCTGATGGGGTCTAAAGAAGGGATCTCTAGAAGCATGGACCCTGACTTTGCATCCTCATGGAAGGCATAGCAGGAGCAGAGGGCCTGGGAAGAGAGCTGGAGTTTACAGAGGTCTGTGCTGCCCAGAGTGGTGACCTTTGCTCCATCCACCCTCTTCCTCTCGCCAACCCTTCCCCCACCAGCACGAGGCCAAGATCCGCTCGCTTACGGAATACATGCAGAGCGTGGAGCTAAAGAAGCGGCACCTGGAAGAGTCCTATGACTCCCTGAGTGATGAGCTGGCCAAGCTCCAGGCCCAAGGTGAGGCCTTCTTAAACCTCCAACCCATCCATCCTGGGATATGAGATCCCAGAGGGGGCAGGGAGTTGAAAGTGACAAACATCGAAAGAAACCACCCAACTGCACACTCCCCCAAAGCATGAGACCAACTCACATGCTACTTAGCAAGTTTTTGCATGTAGCTTATTGTACACGAACCATAAGCACTCCATTGTCTCTGTCCCTGCTATGTCCAACTGGGCTGTCCTAACCCAGAAGAACATCCCTGTGGGCCCATTCGGGGTAGATGTGCCCTGCCCTGCCTTGAGGTCTGGTCACAATGTGAAGTTCGTCCTGGTGGAGGTAGGTGCGGTGTGAGCCGTCTTTCCCTCTTTTAGAAACTGTGCATGAAGTGGCCTTGAAGGACAAGGAGCCCGACACACAGGATACAGACGAAGTGAAGGTGAGTAGGGAAGGTGTGGGGATGGCAGGCCTGGCAGGGCTGTGCTGGCCCTCACTGAGCTGGTGTTGGGGAACCTGGCTTTGAGCTTGGGGTGGTGTTGTTTGTAGAAGGCCCTGGAGCTGCAAATGGAGAGTCACCGGGAGGCCCATTACCGGCAGCTGGCCCGGCTCCGGGACGAGATCAACGAGAAGCAGAAGACCATTGATGAGCTCAAAGAGTAAGAGTTCCCGAGGGCGGCTCTGGTCTCTACCTGGTCCTCTTGCCCAGCTGTGCCCACTCAAATGCTCCCTCAGATCCTGTTCTTTAACTTCCATGTGTCACTCCCCCAACAATGACACGACTTCGCAGCCCAACTCTAGGAGGTACAGGAGTAAGGCCTCGTCCCAATCCTTGAGGCTCTTCTGACTAAATAGCTCAGGGTTCCTTCCTCTGTCATGGAAACAGTGGCCTGAGCCTGCCTATATTTGAAGGGAGATGCATCAAATCTAACTGGACTCACTCGTTCAAGAGGGAAAATGCTTGAGGAGCTGGTCTTCCCTTTCTCCGTTATTCACATCCTTTGGTTGTCGCTGTACCTCTTGCCCTCCACAGCCTGAACCAGAAGCTCCAGTTAGAGCTGGAGAAGCTTCAGGCCGACTACGAGAAGCTGAAGAACGAAGAACAGGAGAAGAGCACCAAACTCCAGGAGCTGACGTGAGTGCAGGGCGCCTGCAGCCCAGCAGCCACAGAGGCTGATGACTCAGCAGAGGCAGGGTGCAGGGTAGATGTGAATACGGTGACCGCAGGAAGCAAATGCCTCCAAAGAATAATTTGATGGGGTAGGGAAGGGGAAAAAAGGAGACTTTCAGAAGGGACCTCTATTGAATATTAGCTCACAGGGAAAGATGTTTGTGATGTTCTGTTAAGTGTAAAAAGCAGGTTACAAAACAGTATGTTAATGGTCCCGTAAAATATTTATGGGATGTACATGAATAGAAAAATGAGTCTGGCAAGAAGGACACCAGCATGTTAATGGTGGTTTGATCTGTAAGTAGTAGAATCATGAGCTTTTTATGAAACTCGTCTTATCTTTTCTTTTTTCCACCTTTTCTAATTTCTGCACAGTGAACATGGGTAACTTGTATAATAGGTAATAAAAAAATATAAAAGGAATGGAGGCGGGAGGAGAATCCTGAGAGAATCTTCTGTTTCCCTCCTCCCCCAGATTTCTGTACGAGCGACATGAGCAGTCCAAGCAGGACCTCAAGGGCCTGGAGGAGACCGTTGTGAGTGGTTCCCGTCTGTGCTGAGTTAGCGGGGTGGAGGGGGCTTCGTCTCTTCCCCCGATTCTTCCTATCCCCATTCCTCCTGCCCGCTGCAAAGTCAGTCTGTGGCATAATTAGGACCCTCTTTTCCTAAAGGATGAGTGACTCACCTGACTGGATAGACTGAAGGGCCCAGTAATTTCAGAGTAAAAGGTTGGCCTGGTATTTGGCTACCCCAGTCTTTCATCATTCTTTCCAGGCCCGGGAACTCCAGACCCTCCACAACCTTCGCAAGCTGTTCGTTCAAGACGTCACGACTCGAGTCAAGAAAGTGAGTGCCCTCCTCGCTCGGGCTCTTCCTAGCCCCCATCTTCTCCGCCTGTTCTCGGGTCCTCCGGCCCTTTGGTCTCCTGTGGGCCGGCTTGGCCTGGTCTGGGTGGGACCTGTTTGGCTTCAGTCTTCCCCTCTGTCTTTAACCAGAGTGCAGAGATGGAGCCCGAGGACAGTGGGGGGATTCACTCCCAAAAGCAGAAGATTTCCTTTCTTGAGAACAACCTGGAACAGCTTACAAAGGTTCACAAACAGGTAAGAGTGGGTGGGAGGAGTGAAGAGAACTCCTGAGGCCAGGTGCCTGGGATACCAAATCCTCGGAGGCCCCTTGGATTTAGGAAAATCTACTGGCATGTTTTCCTTACCTTTCCCACTAATGCCTTCTTTATACCAGATTTGGTTCCACTTTCACCTTTTTCTTTGTTCCATGCCTGTTTTCCCTTCTCAAAGCTCCCAACCTGCCTTTGCTCCAGTGGAATCCCCAGGCCTATGTTGCTGGAGTGAAAGGTTGAAATGGATAGAGGTTTCGGAGGCATGGGCTGTAACTATACACAAGGGATGCTGGTCAGATTTTAGCCAGAGATAGAAAGCAGCGAGACACGAAGCCGCCGGGGAAGTTGGGCTTTCTCACAGGGAGAGACGGAGAGAACTCCATCGGCCCAGGCCTGGGGCAGGCATGCAGGGAAATTCAATGATGTCCTCTAGATCAGCGGTCGCCAACCTTTCGGACCTCACGGACCACCAGTGAGTCGCGGACCACCGGTTGGCGACCGCTGCTCTAGACGGCCCATCCAGCCCCGGTCGGCCCTGTGTATTGAGTCACTGCCTCTCTGTCGCCCTCCTTGCTGCTGCGGTTCCTTAGGTGGATGACTGGGTGTCAAAGGTATGGGGTGGGGAGGTAGGTGGGCAGTCCAAAGGAGTCAGGACAGGAAATGTTTGGTGCAGACAGAGCCAAATAGCCGAGCCTTGAAGACAGGTGCAACAGTCAGTTGGCTCTCTTAACTGATTCATAAAATAAACCCTTACCTCTACTTTATTCCCTTCCTTTCAAATCCACTTTAAAATTCCATTTAAGCTCATATTCTCACTAAACTGGACCTTAAACTTCTTTTCCTCCCAGTACACTGTCCAGCACATATAGTAGACACTCAGTACATTTAAAAAAAAAAAGACAAAAACCACAGAACTGTGGCCCAGTGGTAGTCTGCAGGGTTTGTTTTATTTGAGCTTGCAGAGGACTTTACTACCATCTCTTTCCCTTTGCTTATTAAAAAAATATATAATATTATAGGAAAGTTGAAAGACAGGGAAGAAATATGTTATCAGTTCTGCCATTCTTTTTAATTTCTGCGTGTTCATTTTCCTTCTCCATCAAGATGCACATTATATTGCTTTTCCCACCAAATATTTTTACTGTAAAATACACATAACAAAATTTACCACTTTAATCATTTTTTCTCCAGAACTCTTTTCATCGTGTAGAACTGAAACTCTGTGTCCACTAACAATAACTCCTCCTTCCCTGCTCCCCCAGCCCCTGGCACCTGCCACTCTCCTTCCTGTCTCTATGGTTTGACCACTCGTAGACGTGGAGTCACACAGTATCTGTCCTTTGGAGACTGGCTTATGTCACTCAGCATCATGTCCTCCCTGCTCATCCATGCTGTGGCTACGTCAGGAAACCACAGGCTGTCCCCTCCCCCACCCCCTCCCCAGTGAAGCTCGTGCCTCTGCTCCAAATCCCAAAAGCTACTCACTCATAGGAGAGAGGACTCCTCAAAATTTCCTACCTCAGCGGACACAAGGCTAAAAAGGAAAATGAGATGTAGAAACGTCTTCACTAATCGGAGCTTAAATGGCGAAGGCTACAGCCCGTTACTAATTGAACTAAGTTATTGCCCCAGCAAAACACTGTAATCTGTAAACCAGGGGTCCTCAAACTTTTTAAACAGGGGGCCAGTTCACTGTCCCTCAGACCGTTGGAGGGCCAGACTATAGTTTAAAAAAAAACTATGAACAAATTCCTATGCACACTGCACATATCTTATTTTGAAGTAAAAAAACAAAACGGGAACAAATACAATATTTGTATTTGCATGTGGCCCGCGGGCTGTAGTTTGAGGACCCCTGCTGTAAACTGTCCAAAATTAAAGGGGTGCAGAAGTATTTCTACCTCTGTCCTTTCTCCCAGCATTGACAGTCACACTGATTCCCCTGCTCTCTTCCAAGGCCGGCTCTTTGGCCAACTATGGTGCCCTTGGTCATGTGTGAGACCCTGTAAGAAGGTCAGGACATCTTTTCTGGCTTCAAGGTGGTTGCTACCTGTAGCTTAATTTAAATGGGGGAGGGACAGCTCAGGAAATCCTTGACTGTGAAGGTAATGAGCACAAATGTTTGTGAGTCTCAAACATTTTCTTTCCTTCCTATGGAGCATCGTGTGTATGTGTGGGGGTGGAAGGGGAGGTGGGGCTCCTGTATTCCAGCTTCTGCTCCTGCTCTGCACTGTACCTCACCTGCACTCAATGCCATATCCACCCTCCACACTGCTACTGTGCTCCTGCTGCCCCACCCTGTGCATGCCCACAAAGCCATCCTTGGTGAGGGGGTGCCTCATCCCCATGGTTGCCCTGGGGCTGTTGGTTTGGCACAAGCTGGAAGATATGGGGGGGGGGCATCTCTAGGCCAGAAGGAGACTGGAACAGGCCCTATCACAGGAGTTCTGGGCTGCAGTGGAGGTGGCACGTTTTGCGCCCAGAAAACAATGTGACGTTTCATAATGTCTGACCATCGTTTGCTCAGGGGGAAGGAAAGAACTGGCTAAAACGGCAAGTTAGGTAAATGAATGAGGCTTTTGGGGAAACAACGTGGTCTCCATCTCCTCTGACTCGATTTTTCTTTATTCTCTCTCCCCACCTGCACCCCACACCTGGGTCACCTGCCTTTCTTTCTGCCTCTTCCCTTGGGTTCACCCCGCAGCTGGTACGTGACAATGCAGATTTGCGTTGTGAGCTTCCTAAATTGGAAAAACGACTTAGGGCTACGGCTGAGAGAGTTAAGGCCCTGGAGGGTGCACTGAAGGAGGCCAAGGAGGGCGCCATGAAGGACAAGCGCCGGTACCAGCAGGAGGTGGACCGCATTAAGGAGGCCGTTCGGTACAAGAGCTCGGGCAAGAGAGGCCATTCTGCCCAGATTGGTGAGTGGGGAGTGGATGGCAATCGGTAAGGTGGGGTTACCATCTGGGGAAATTCCTAAGTGTCAAGCAACTACATTATTGGTTTTTACTCTACCTGCCCACCCCCAGCCATACCCCCCAAAATATAAAAGTAAATTATCTTATAAGCAAAACAGTTCAACTCCAACTTTCCTTTCTTTATTACAGCCAAACCCGTCCGGCCTGGCCACTACCCAGCATCCTCACCCACCAACCCCTACGGCACCCGCAGCCCCGAGTGCATCAGTTATACCAACAGCCTCTTCCAGAACTACCAGAATTTGTACCTGCAGCCTGCACCCAGCTCCACCTCAGATACATAGTGAGTGACCAAGGGCGTAAGCTGGAACCCCAACCCAAGACCCTATAAGGCATAAGGTTTGGTCATTTATTGGGGGAGACGTGATTCTTCTCCTAAGTAGCTTCATTAATTCTTTCTCATTAATCCTTAGAAGGTGGGCATCTGCCTTCCCAGCCTGCGACCATGTCTGTTTTCTATTCTCGGGGGAGTGGCGGGGTGTATGGCTCCATCCCTGAGGGTGTGGATGTGTCCTTGGCATAGTGACGGGGCGGGGGGGGGGGGGCTGTGTGCCAGAGGCTGCATCTCTCTGCTCTGCTCCATCCAGTTTTGCAAACTCCTGTGCCAGCAATGGGGCCATGTCTTCTGGAGGCACCTTGGCTTCCTACCAGAAGGCCAGCATGGACAACGGTGAGTGAGAAAGACGGGTCACCAGCCTTTAGGGTCCCCAGGGCAAGTTGAAAAGTGTAAGTGACCCTGTACCTACAGCTGGCACACTGCCCATCCCTTCAGGGGCTTGGATTCTTATAAGTCGATTCCTCCCATTACAGTATCTGTCCCCACCCTGACCTTCCTTTCCCCTTCTCCTCTCCTGCAGGAGGGACCCGGGAGGCTTCTTCTCAGCATAATGATGCAGCAGGGGCAGCTGTAGATATAGCGCCACAGACCCCGATGGCAGCTAGGCTCCAAAGAGTGTTACCTTTCTCGCTAAGGAGTTAGGATGAGAGAGGGTTGGGGAGACTGTTTCTAATGCCCAATCTCCTTTTTCTTCTTCTAATCCTGTGTTCTCAATGATGATCTCTTCAGGAAACGCCACAGATATCAACGACAACAGGTACACCCGTCCCCACTGCTCTTGGGTTCTCTGGGTGGGACCAGAAGAAATGATTAAAATCCCTCATGCCCTAGTTAGAAGTTCCCTGGAGCCTTCTGGGGAAGGAGGAGGAAATGAGAATCTTTCTTGTCATCACTGTGTTGTCCAGGAGATCCAGTCCCTCCCCTGCCTCGGTGCAGAATACTGCCCCCTCCTCCAATCCCATCGGGGGCTTCTCCCCATCCCGATGGTGGGGGTTGGTGGAAAATGCCACGGACACTTGATGCCCTGGTTTCTCTCTTACCTCTGGGAACGTTGTGACCTGAGCAAGTCAGTCCCATCTCTCTGGCCTTGCTTTTCCCTGTATCCCTGTAAAACCAGAATAGTCCCGCCCTGCACTGCCTCACAGGAATGCTGTGAGAGCATGGTGGCAGGAACGCTTTCATATACGGAGCTGACAGTGCTGAGTGTGCTGGGTCTCTTCTTCCAGGAGTGACCTGCCATGCGGCTATGAGGCTGAGGACCAGGCCAAGATCTTCCCTCTCCACCAGGAGACAGCAGCCAGCTAATCTCCCACACAGACTGCTGCGTACCTGCACTTTCAGGTAGCTCAGGCCTCTTCCTCTGGCCAGCCTCAGGCTGCCTGCTTTCTTGCCCTCACCTCTTGTTTCTTCCACTTTTTTAATAATCTCGAAACTTTTACTACACAGTTGTCCCCAACTCCTGCCTTTCCCTTGTAGGGGCCACATCTGTGCTGCTCCAAGTCCTCCGAACACTCATCTCCCTTCCCCCTTACTAGTATACTTGCCTTTTGGCCAGAGGAGTAACCAGGGTCCTGCCTTTCTGCCACTAGGGGTCACTGCCACATGTCAAAAGAAGTGAGGGGGTGGATTCAAGCCACACACAGGTCAAGGAACTGGGGTAGATACCTAGAAGAGGTTGGGAGACCATCTCAACCCTCCCTCTGCCTCCACCTTAAAATAATTTTGGGTGGATAGGTATTTTCTAAGACATCTCCAGTAAAGGAGATGTTTGATTTATTCCTGCACCTGTGTCCTGTTCTCCTTGTATCTGTATGTTACCAATGAGTTCTAGGAAATAGCCCAAGTGTCTAAGTTTTTGTTAGAGGAGTGTTAGCACTCCTCTCTCATCTTGCTCAGTGGAGGTGGAAAACAGCTGTGTCCCCACCTCCAAGCCCCGCTCCCTTCTCCACCTCAGGCCCCAGGTTCTTGTGTGTCACCAAGCTCCTGGCCACGATTGCTTGAGGGCCCAGAACTGGGTACTGGGGTCCTGTTTTCTGGTCCACTTTGGGTCCTTGGAGACTGGAAATGAGAGAACACAGCCAGTCTCCTACTGGGCTGCATCCAAACCGAGCCCTCTCCAGGGGTTTTCCAAGGCAGTAGGCCAGGCACATGTAGGCAGAAAGGCATGAGAAGCAAAGAAGTGGGAATGGGGAAGGAGGAGTTAGGAAAATCGGGGGTGGAGGAGGAGGGATTGGAAGGATAGTGTCCGGTTGCTGGTATTAAAGGGACAGAACTGTAAAGCAAAGTCTGTACAGATGTCACCCTGTCCCTATTCAGTGGCTGGGCCACAGGTGGTTGCTCACAACCTCTTTCTCTTTCTCCCCAGTTTCTAAGAGGGACTGAGGCCTCTTCTCTCAGCATGCTGCAAACCTGTGGTCTCTGATGCTAACTCCCTCCCCAGCCCTTGTTGTTCGACTATACTATGTTTGATGTCTTCTCTTACTCTGTATCTCTTTGTACTCTGTATCTATATATCAAAGGCTGCTACTATGTCTCTCTTCTGTCTTACTCTCTAAGTATTTAATGATGTATTTAGCAATTTCTAAACATAGTATACCCTCCTCATTTGGGGGAATAGGGAGGAGGGCAAATGCCTCTTCTTTCTCTCACACTGTGTGGTGTTAGTCATGGAGATGATAAAAGGTAAAACGGGAGCTAGAGGGCTGCGACCCTTCACACACACACACACACACACACACACACACACACACACACAGAGCCTTAAGCAGAAGAATGTCTTAACATCATAAAAAGATACAGAAATAGACTCTTCTTCCTCCCTCCTCTTTCACATATAGCACGGGGGAGGGGGGGCTGTAAGGTGGGAGAACTACTAAATTATATGTAGAATTTTCTTCATACACCCTTCACCCGAATCGAGGGATTCCAGGTATGCACCTCTGCCCTTTGAGGTCTGCCTTTTGCCTCTCTCTTCCTGTTCTCTCCTGGATGACCAAGAACAGAGATTGCTCAAAGGATCACTTCCCTTTCTCCTCAAAACTCCTTTTGATATTTTGGATCCCAGAGTTCCTGACCAGAACCTACAGTGCTTTGAAATATTTTGAAAGGTTGAGGAGGCAGACGCTCCTGATAGTCAAATAGTTGGTCATCTGTCCACGATGATATTTACAGGCAAGCATAGTCAAATGAGTGCTTCTTTGGGTTGAGGGTGAGCAGGCTGGGAAATTCCTAAGTATTTTTGCCATGGTGATGAGCTGGGTTCCTTTCTCTGCCCCATATTGGGATGCATTTCTTCCCATCTCCAGCTTTTGGTTTGGGGGTTTCCAGTTCATTGGCAAAATATCTATCTTGCGATGCCTTTCTTTCAAGCTGGAGCCTGCCTTTTCCCCAATATACAAACTTTTTTTTTTTTTTAACAAAGAGTTCCTTCTATAATATCCCCATCTGGTAAGTGCACTTTAAAGAAAGGGGCAGATTTTCCAGAGGTGGAGGAACCCCAGGGCTGGAACTGGGTGTCTTCCCCCAAGCCCCTCAACCCCCATGTAATGGATAGGACTGTTGTTTTGGTTTCAGACGTCTTTTCCTTCTACATGGTGCTAAGGTGGTTTCCCAGGTAACTGCAGGGATGGAGAATGGAGGTCACAAGCCAGTCCAAATTAAGGAAGTCTGATGCCCAGATATCCAGTCTTATCGAGGATGGAAGAACAGGATCCGCCAGCAGCAGGGCAACCATCCCCTAGCTTCTAAGTCAGGAAAGAAAGCTCACTGTGAGTGCAAGTCAGTAAGTACAGGCTGTGTTAGCCCAGGGCTCCTTCAAGGAAAGAAGACCTTTCTCCCTGTTAGCAATTAAGGAGAAATGCAGCGGGGAGGGGAGAAATGCCAGAGGGAAGTGGAATAAATCCAAAGCTGTGATATTCAAACATTTTTCATAAGAAATCTTATATAGAACCCTACTATAAAAAATGACTGAAAGTGATACAGACCTGGGCAGTTTGCATTTTCTTTGTTTGGTAGTAAATGCTTCACTCATTGAGGAGTCCTTGAACGTCCTAAGAAACGTTGGGAGTTCTGTAGAGTAGTTTGAAAACCACTGCTCTGAGGAATGGAGTTCAAACCCCTGTCCTAAGCTTGCCACTCATAGCAAAGAGGGAAAAGGTGGGTGGATGAGCCGTCCTCTCCGCGAGACCCAATTGGGGAAGAAGAAGATACCTGTGCACCTGTGACTTGTGCTAATATTTGCCGGGAGGGCATTTAAGAATCCAGTGGGTTTTATATAATCTTGCCACCAAATGATTCTTTTAAAACACATAAGAAAATGTGAAGGTGTAGGGCAGATGCAGAGGGAGGTGACAGAGGAAGCAGGCTTCTCTTTTGCAAGATGTAAGAGAAATATAATTCACTTACATTAATCAGAAACAACACACACACAAAGCCTTCACCAGAAGGTTCACTCTACATCTTCCTCCTCCCCCCGACACTCACTGCATCCCTTTCAGAGAGCCAGGGTTACCACAAGGGGCCCCTGGCCTGCCCACTCACATCTGCCAAATGTTGCATGCCAGTGTGGAAGACAAACCAAAATGCACAAACCCCAGTGTGTATTTATTTGATGTACATAGATACCTTTAAAATAAAATAAATTCAATGATGGCTGTATGGTGGTGTAAATCTTTTCCCTCCCCTGTCTCTCCTTTCCTTGCATATTATGGCATTTGATAGTGTGGTATATATCCTTCCAGATGTTTCTCTATATATTTACACACAGAGTGTTTTTCCCCCACTTGACAATATATCCTGGGAATTGTTTCATGCCAATATACATAGATTTACCTTTATAGATAGATAGATAGATAGATATAGATATAGATAGATAGCCTGGTGCATGAAATTTGTGCACAGCGGGGGGGGGGGGGGGCGGTGTCCCTCAGCCCAGCCTGCACCCTCTCCAATCTGGGACCCCTTGGGGGATGTTTGACCAGCAGTCGGACATCCCTCTCACAATCTGGGAATGCTGGCTCCTAACCACTTGCCTGCCTGCCTGATTACCCCTAAATGCACCCCCCCCCCAGCCTGATTGACGCCTAACTGCTCCCTGCGCCAATCACCCCAACTGCCTTCCCTGCAAGCCTGATCCGCCCCCACTGCCCTCCCCTGCTGGCCTGGTTGCTCCCAACTGACCTCCCTGACGGACTGGTCGCCCCCAACTGCCCCCCGCTGGCCTGGTCGCCCCACGCAGCCTGCTGTTCAGTCGTTTGGTTGTCCCTCACTAACACCCCTGCAGGCCTTGTTGCCCCAAGCAGCCTGCTGTTTGGTCATTACTGTTACTGTGATGGTGTCCCGGACAATTTGCATATTCCTCTATTATTAGTATAGATAATTTCATATATTTACCCTATAATTTTTTGTTGTTGTCAATCCTCACCTGAGGATATTTTTTTCATTGGTTTTTAGAGAAAGTGAAAGGCGGGGAGAGAGTGAGAGAAAAACATAGATGTGACAGACACATCAATTGGTTGCCTCCAACACATGCCCTGACCAGGGCTGGGGATTGAACCTGCAACTCAGGTATGTGCCCTTGTCTGGGAGTCAAACCTGTGACCCTTTGGTGCTAGGGCTGGTGCTCTAACCACTGAGCCATTGGCCGGCGCTATTTATCCTATAATTTATTCAACCATTCCACTATTGGTGGGCATCTTTCTAGGTTGTTGGTAATTTTTTAATGGTTTTTTTGTTTGTTTGTTTGTTTGTTTTACTTCAGAGAGAGGAAGGGAGAGGGAGAGGGAAAGAGATAGAAACATCGATGAGAGAGAAACATCACTGATCAGCTGCCTCCTACAGCCCCATACTGGGGATCGAGCCCACACCAGGACATTTGCTCTGACCAGGAATCGAACCAACAACCTCCTGGTATAGGGGACTAGGGGATGATGCTCAACCAACTGAGCCACACTGGCCAGGTAGTTGTTGGTAATTTTTAACAAAAAAAATTATACCCTGTTCTCATTTCCACCCCAGACCATCTCCTCAGTCCCAGCATCAATTCTGTTCCTTTCCAGTGTGTCTCTATCCTGCCTTTGCAAACAGCTCAGTTCTTTGTCCCATGACCATCTACCACAATCACCCTCCTTACCCCCATTTTAGAGCATTCCCCTACCTGTCTTCTCTACTCGTGCCTCAAAGCTGCTGAGATGAATGGGGACAATTGCACAATCAGAACAATGGGGCAGCTAAAAACAAACAGCCTGCAAACCTAACTGGACCTTCCATGCTGCTTAACCTTCCGTGTATCCTTACACAGTTCCCTCTCCTACCCGCAGGGCAACTAGTCTAAACCCTTACTCCTCAAGACCCCTTCTCACCTTCCTCTCATAAGCAACAACTCTGTCTGCCTTAAAGGGAAATTTTAGCTTGGCCGGTGTGGCTCAGTGGTTGAGCATCCACCCATGAACCAGGAGGTCACGATTTGATTCCTGGTCAGGGCACATGCCCGGGTTGCAGGCTAGATCCTCAGTAGGGGGTGTGCAAAAGGCAGCCAATTTATGCTAATGTTTCTCTTTGATGTTTCTATCTCTCCTCTCTCTAAAAAATCAATAAAAAAATTTTTTTTAAAAAGGGGAAAATTAAGGTTATTGAACATGAACTTTTTCATCCCCCCCTCATACACACACCTTCTTACATATATCTGCACAGATCCTTTCCTTTCTCTCTCCCTTCTGACAAGTGATAAATCTCCCTTCTCTAGGTTAAAGCAAGTTCCTTCTAGATCTTTCATTCTTGAGACACTCAGAGCTTAATATATAAAACTGGAGGCTCAGTGCACAGATTCGTGCACCGGTGGGGTCCCTCAGCCTGGCCTGCGGGGATCGGGCGAATGGCTCTCCAACATCCCCCGAGGGGTCCTGGATTGTGAGAGGGCACAGACCAGGCTGAGGGACCCCACTAGGGAGGGACCAGGGCGTGTCCGGCCTGTCTTGCCCAGTCCCAATAGGGGCAATGGGAGGAGGGGGGCCAGCCAGGGAGGGACAGTGGGAGATTAGCTGGCCCAGGAGGGAACACGGGAGGGCTCCAGGGCATGTCCGTCCCCTCTTGCCCAGTTCCGATTGGCCAGACCCCAGCAGCAAGCTAACCTACCGGTCAGAGCATCTGCCCCCTGGTGGTCAGTGCACGTCATAGTGACTGGTTGAACGAACAGTTGGACATTTAGCATATTAGGCTTTTATTATATAGAATAGGATAACTAAAAGTGATGCAGACTTGGGAAATTTGCATCTTCGTTAACTTCTGTTTCAATTATTTCTTCCCTTCTTTTTTTTCTTTTGTTTTTGTGTTTTTATTTCAAAATATTTTTATTGATTTTTAGAGAGAGAGGATGGGAGAAGAGAGAAATATCAATGTGAGAGCATCCATCAGCTGCCTCCTGCACGTCCCCTACTGGGGAGCAAGCCCAGAACCCAGGCATGTGCCCTGACAGGGAATTCAAGGAGCAACCTTTTGGTGCATGGGACAATGCCCAACCAACTGAGCTCTACCAGCCAGGGCTTCCCTTCTCCTTCTAAGGCAGTGGTTCTCAACCTTCTGGCCCTTTAAATACAGTTCCTCATGTTGTGACCCAAACATAAAATTATTTTCGTTGCTACTTCATAACTGTAATGTTGCTACTGTTATGAATCGTCATGTAAATATCTGATATGCAGGATGGTCTTAGACGACCCCTGTGAAAGGGTCGTTCGACCGCCAAAGGGGTCGCGACCCACAGGTTGAGAACCGCTGTTCTAAGGTCTCCCTTAAAAGTCCCTCTTTACTGTGTGGTTCTCTTTAAGAGACTCCCTACTTGTTTTCTTACAACCAAATTTCAAAAAATAGTCCCAGGCTTCTGCCCCCACTTCCTTTCCTCCCACTCATTCTTCAACCCAGTTTGATCTGGCTCTTGTTCTGGTGAAACTGCCCCAAAGGTCACTAGTTACCAAGTACAGTTGGCACTTAACTTCTCCATCCTTGTCTTGCTTCACCTCTCTGCAACATCTGACAGTGCTCTTCACTCAGTCCTTGACACGCCACTCTCTTGGCTTCTGTGCCCCTGCTCTCTCTCCTGGCTCCTTTACTTCTCTGGCCACCCCTTCTCAGCCTTTTCCCAGAAGTCTCTCTCTTTTTTTTAAAAAAAAAAAGACTTTTAAAAAATATGTTTGTTGCTTTTTAATTTTTAGAGAGGGAGAGGGAAAGATAGAAACATCTGCACCCCTCACCCCCCCACCCACTCCCACCCCTGCCATGGAGCCTGAAACCCGGGCAAGTGCTCTGACCGGGAATGGAACCGGTGACTCCCTGGTGCATGGGTCCACACTCAGTCAACCCGCCACCCTGGCTTCTTAAGTACTGGTTACACCG